AATATGAGTCCTAAGCATCCCAGAAACGACACAGAAAGTCATGAAGTCAAACATAACTTTTAAAAACACAAGTATAAGCTCATGAGGCCACGATGGTAAAAAAAACTACATTTCCGCAAAATGACGTCACTTCCGGTTTCGGGCAGGTCATGCGGTCATGTGATAGTTCACGCTGATGGACGTAGGAAGTGTTACAAACAGCTGATTGGATCTGCGAAGCATGTTTCTGGAATATCATGTTTTTGTTGCTGCAAGTGATTTTTATGCAGTTTTTGCAAAGCCATATGTGGAAGGAAACTGTGACCTAGGACAAGCTGATGGCATAAGATGTAAGTACAACTCCTCCAGTTTCATATGCAAAAAAAATTATTGCGCTAGCTTACGTGGTTGCAGAGCTACCGGGATTTAAAAATAGTTACACAAAACAGAGCGTGCCCACTCCGATCGGCTGTAAAGGGTTAACTCCACCAATACCTCTTATTTTTGGCCCAATCAGCAGTGATGGAGCACTTGAGAAGCAGTCCAGTCAGTGTGAAAGCTCTCCTGCTTTGATGGCTTTTGAGAACCAGCGTACATTTTGATTGGCTTGAAAGCCAAATGTTCACAGCATCATGTGGCCGTTTTGTACTGATGTTTAAGTGCTAGCTTTTTGGCACCTGACACCAGCCCTAATTTTCACAAAAAAAACAAACAAAAAAAACCCTGCGTGTGTTTCCAGCCGCAAACGAGCTGAAGAAACGTCTGATTTAAATCCACTCTGGACTTCCAGTGCCACTCCAGAATTACAGCCGCCTCAGATTTCTCGCTTGGCAGCCGTTTGTTCCGTTCTGTGGCAGGAGTGCAAATAAAGAGCTCAAAATATGTATAAATAGTCCTACAGTGGATTTCGGCTAATTTGTGTTTGAGTGGGGAGGACCTCCAACCGCCATCCCTCCCATGAACTCAAAGCTACAGACACTGACCAACAGACAGGAAAGCCATGGCTAAATTATCCAAACCTTGAGCTGAGGTGGACTTACCTAAGGTCTGGTTTGGGGTCGAGTCCTTAGATTCGTCATGCTGCTAAAGAAAGATGAGCCTTAACTGAGACTCGGGAGGAGTGTGTGTGTGTGTGTGTGTGTGTGTCTGAGGGTTAATTAAGGAGGACAGGGATCCTCTCAGGCACACTCATTAAATGACTATTTGGATTAAGATAAAAAATTCATTACTCTGTGGAGTCATTGAAAGGGGAAGACAAAGAAAGAGGGAGAAAGAGAGAGACGCCAAAGTGGTCAAGTGAGTATCGCGGGGTTTCACGTGTAGCTTTAATGATGACAGCAGCTTCCTTTAAAGGTTCAACACACAGGCACTGACCTTCCTCCAGGTTCAGACTGATGAGGACCGGCTGCTGTGTGCCGCCACACTGAAACGACCCGGAGCCGATACCCTCTCATTGGACCTTTTATGGGTGCTAAATACAGACTATATATAACTGATGCATGAAGACTTAAAACCATTTACAGCTTTAATCACAAACTTTTGTTATTACCCTTCTGCCCAAGCTTCAGTGGTGCCAACATGCTGTGTTTATATAAGGCAGGGGTGTCAAACATAAGGGCTGGAAGCCAGAATCTGCCTCACAAAGACTCTAATCCGGCCTGCTGGACTGCTTTTGAAAATATGAAGGAGGTCATAGGTTATTCTACAGTAAAACCTTCAGTTTTATAATAACTATAGGAGTCTTTTCTGTAATTTTATACATTATTTCTTACACTTGAAGCCCAAAGACTCATCTGACAGATTTCTTTCCTTTACTACATCAGCATGTAGAAAAACTGACATTTACTGCTGTGATGGCAACTTTTTTTCTGGATTTAAGATATCTTGACGTATTTGGTGGCATTGAACTTATGTCTTAACATTTCAACATTTCACAGGTACCTGAAATAGTAGAGATGGGATTTGAGAACCCACGACATCTGCTTTATGGCTGTTGTGTTGATGCATGACTGTTTGGTTTCATGTGCAGGCTGTTTGGACACAGTGGAGCCTGCAGCGCTTGTGGACAGTCTATACCTGCCAGCGAGATGGTGATGCGAGCACAAGGCAGCGTTTACCACCTGAAGGTGAGCGTGATCTTCTACCAGTCCAGCGTTGTCAACCTTACATGTTTTCATCTTTTCAGACCGGTGAAACTTTTAATCCAATTTTTTTTTTTTCTTTAGTGTTTCACGTGTGCAACATGCAGGAACCGCCTGGTTCCCGGCGATCGCTTCCACTATGTCAACGGGACAATCTTCTGTGAGCACGACCGGCCGGGAGGAGGCCTGCTCGGCGGACACTCAACTCCACTGCAGGGCAACAACATCATGTCTGACCAGAAGGTGAGAGGCAGTTTCTGGACTAAGACTTTTTTGAACAGTGACATCATTTTCATTCAGGAAGATTTTCATGAAGCAAAAATGTGAGCTTAACTGCTGATGAATTGGAGAGTATTTTTTGCTCCATCCCCCTTTTTTCAGAGGCTTAAATAGAGTTTGATAGTTCAGTCAAAAGTTGCTTCATCAGCAGCTGAGAGTAATTTTCTCCGTGTTGGGGAGAAGATCTGGAGATGATTCAAAATGTGGTGTTTGCACCTGGAAGTAGTTTATGTGGACTAACAGCATGCAGATAAAAAGAGTTCTTAATGAAAATGAAACAGACCACTCCAGTGGATTGGAATTTTGTTTTGTTGTTTTCCAGTCAGTTTAACTTTAATGCAGACTCATGGATGTTTATCCAAGCTGGTGATTGGTTTGGTGTATAACCTCTTCTCTTTACCATCTACAGGTCTGCTGAGGAAGAGGATGGAAAACCAAATGTGTGCCTTCTCCCCCACCTTTTTCCTCTTCACCTTCTCCCCCTCGCTGTAAATCCCACCGCTGGTCAACCTCCCTCTGATCTCGTGGACCCTTGCCGCTGGTTCAGATTTTAACTTCCCAACAGACTCTGAAGATGACGAGGAGTAAAATCTGAAAGAGATCTGTTGGGATTTCACTGATTAGCTGTGGCCTGGCTGAAAGAGGAAAAGTGGAACTGTCCCATTTGTGTGATTTTAATTTTCCCAGCCAGCCAGTTACTGTGGACATTGAATGAGGAGAAGACAATGAAAGCAATGTGACTCCTGCAGGAGGTGAACTATATTTGACCACATATTTGAGTAAAACTCGTTTGGGTCTGTTGTGTCGTCATTTGAGCTACTCGACGTTTCCTTCGACACGCTGAGAGACACCTGGACACCATAACATCTGTACTGACTTAAAGACGTGTACTTCTCTGTGAAATATTCACATTTTAGCGAGTTAGTGAAGAGAAATTGCTCCCTAGTGGCAGTGTGAATGTCACAGACAATGGGATTGATTTCTCCATGAATTTTAAGACTGTCTTTTCCCAGTTAAATCAGCTCGTTCTCCTCCACATGTCTCATATCAGTGACTCTGTATGACCTGTTTTAGTCTGTGCAAGCTGCTTTGCAACCCACCTCCACCTGAGCTTCTCTTTTTAATGCCGTTTCTGACTTCAGTGTCATATCTGCTGACATTGATACCTGCTCTGTTCTATATGTGAAGGGAGATGTACTGCCATATATATATAAATGACTACAAATGGAAACCAAGAACAGTCGTCTTTTGACTGTAGTGTCAAAAACAAGGACAGACCCTTTATTTAACTTACTTTATTAAAGACTGGCCTTGATTTTTAATTCTTCCTGTTCTCAGGAAGAAGCTACTATCACTGAGTTTCTGTTGTGGAATAAAACATCAGCTTATGCATATGTGCAGTTCCTGGCTCCCAAGGTGAGTCAGTCCCTATACACTCCCATGTTATAATGTCCAACTTTGAAGCAGTTTTCTCCTAAATAACAGGTGTACGGTGGGGTTCATTTGTTTATAGCTGTTTGGATTTTATTGATGCTTAAAATAACTAGCTTGCTCACTTTTAGCTGACAACGTGGCACAGCACCTTCTCCTCCAAATATGGTCACTTCCAGCTCCAGAAAACCAACATGGCGGAGGCCAAAGAATGATAAAGTTAAAGTTACAACAGTGGGTGACATGGCAGTGGCCAAGTCCAACTTTTCCTTCTACTAAGAAGAATTAAGAGTGTGAAGGTAATACTCTTTTAGCAAAACAATGTTTATGTTGTTGTTGTTGTACTGATGGCATTAGTGCTGTGGAAGCTTTACCATGTGAACCATTGTAGGATAAAGTTATAGTGCGCTAAAGTTGATTCCACCTGTCTCCGTGTGCTGATGGCGATTAATAAAACAGCTAAGACTGATTATTTGAATAAAGACTCATCTGACAGTCTGAGTTAACCACAATCTGTGCCACAGTTTCATTTTTTAATTTTGTTGCCTCATCTCCAGTAAACATGATAACAACAAAGTAAAAATGCTAACATTCTTTATTGATTTAGGAAACTGTATTTAAAGAAATATTAAAGCAGGCTTTGATATTTATCTCCTATCATGTTTGCCCTCGATGTTCATTTCATACAGAGTAGATGAACCCTGCCTAATTTTCGTTATGTGGCTCAGCCAATCAAAAGGAAATGGGAGGGGGGGTAAAAATACAGTGTTTCACTGTTTTGTTTTTCTATTTCTGGCTCTGTGTGATGTCATGATGATGGAATTAGCCCTGCCCACTTCTCTTTACATGGTCCAGCCAATCAGAAAAAAGTTGAAAGGGTGGACTTGTTTGAGCGATGCTGCACTATGGACCAAAATAAGATAGTTTAGGCTTCAGCATGCTCTAAATACTCAGTTTCAGACAGGTTTTACTGCTCTAGGATGTTTGCAATATCATAAAAATGGAATCAGTTCCGCCTACATCTGTTTACGTGGGACAACAGAAGGATGGGAGGAGCTGAAACAGCAGCTAAAACCGCTCAATACTCACTTTCAGACAGGTTTTTCTACTCTTGGATCCGTGTGATGTCAGAGGGAGAATATCCCTAATATGGCCACCTCAGCCACAGAAGCTTCATCGCCCTGCAGTCTGGACCTTCTGTTTCTGAAGGGCAGTCCTTCAGAAGTGGTTGGGCAGTATGTTTGTTGGCATGATCACAAAGCAGCCTAACCAAGCTTCAGTTAGTTCTTTGTTTTTAATGTCAAACTGCACAAACAGTCATCCTCAAGCACTCTGTAGATATTTTTTATATGTTGTATTTTGAAGTTAAATTTTTTCTCAGTACATAAGCGAAACAAGAAAGTCAAGATTCTAGAAACATAGTCATTTCTACACAGGTAAAAATTTCTCTTAGATCAACTAGGAGCACAGCTGCTACTGGGCGTAGCACGGCAGCACCCATGATGTATCTTTTTCCTAGGATGCTGTATGAAAGAAGTATCATCTGGAACATGTTTAGGCTTCATGCAGTAACCGTGTTTGGAAAGATTACTCTGCTGCAGTGACATATACTGTGTAGTTTAAATGTTTACTGCAGTACTGTTCACATTTTTACTCTTTATACTGACGTGTTTTCATTGTGCTGACATTCTCTCTGCTGCAGTACAAACCATCATTTCTCTGTTGATTCTTGAGTATTTGGAGTTCTTTCAGAAGAACTAATAATAATAATAATAATAATTCAGTCATTCGACTCACATGTGACAAGTGTGTGATTGGGCTAAAGAGCTAGCTCTGGCTGCCTGAGACTGAGGGGTAAGTAGGGGAGAAACGCTTGTGGTTCTCAGACAAACATGGCTGATTACCCACAGGAATGGGATTTCAAAGGCCTGAGCTGAGGCCATTACAGAAGCAATTAAAGTGGGATGCGCTGGAGGCCTACGCGGGCTTTAGCTGCACTCCAGTGTTGCAGCCTAATGAGGCCTAATCTGGTGAGCTGGTCTAATTAAAAGGGAGGGTTGTTTTTTCCTGTGGGCTCCAGGCAGCCAGCAGTTTGTGGTCTCCATAGTTGTCTGAAACAAAATAAAAAAATAAAATACAAGAGCGAAGACTTACATTGTTTTCAGCCATAAAAACGTTCAGATTCCTCTTTTCTGTGTCCCTTCAAATTAAAACTTTTTTTTTACATGCTCTCTGATCCTTCCAGGCTCTCGGCTCTGATTGCTTTCTGGCATGAAAAGTGCCTTTAAATTAGCCTTTTTAAATCTTTTTGGCATAGAAACTACAAGATCATCTCTTCCACGCTAATTTTGGGATCTCTCGTCCCCCTTTTTTCCCCCCTGTATTGTTTTATGCAGCATGCTGTGGAGCTAAATTAAAGGCTGGAAGTGAGGCACACAGAACGGGCAGAGGCACACATGAGTAGCCAGCTGCAACTCCTCAAATTAACGGGGCCCGGAGAAGTCGGCAGCTCCCTCTCACAGGGTTAGTCCAATTAGCTTCACATTCACAGCAACAATGAGGCTTTTAATGGTGGTGATTCAGAGAGCTCTTTCATAATGATGGAGGGCGAGTGCATTCCTCTGGTTTTTCACTCATGACTCTGCTGTAAGCCCGGAGTCTCACCAGTTTCTCCCAATTCAACCCCAGTCCTGTTTAAGCTAGTCAGGCTGTAGCTTCTTATCACAAAAAATACAAAATACAGCCTGTGCGATTGTGTTTTTTTTTCCCCGCTCATATATATCCTTTTTCAGTTATGTATGTTCCCAATAAAGATGGCTAATGTTTCAAATAACAAGGTCAGTGTGTGAACAAATAATCCACTTGAGCCAAAAGCTCAGGCTTTAATTTAATAAACACACAGTTTATTAGATTTTTTTTCTCCTCTTGGATCTTAATGATGTCAGTGAGAGGAACACACAAGTCCCACCCACTTTCAATTACAAGGGAGGCTGGCTTTATGTGGAGGTGAAAAAGCTTATTTTGGACAGAGGCTCAAAAAAAAGAGGTCGTAGAGGCGAAATAAAAGTTTCTAACAAGAGAAGCCTCTTTTTCTTATGTCAAAACGGAATTTAAGATTTAGTGGTATCTTCATATTTTATCCAGACTCCAACCTTTCGGGCTGAAGATAAAGCTCCAGTTCCTCAAATGGCTACTTGAGGTTCAAAAGTGACTTGGTCCCCACAGACTATGATGTTAAAATGTTTAGCTTTAACTAGGAATAAACATGTTTATAAGACACCTGTTTAAACAATACGAAGCATTAACATTTGCAAGTAACAGGGAGGGGATCTTTTTAATATGGTCCTCACAGGCAGAAAGAAGTACCACCCACTTTTATGTTACAAGTGGTAGCCAATAAGAAGAAAGTTGGCTTAAAAGGAGAGGGGGGAGGGAGCTAAAACAGTAATGATGGATTGGATTTATATAGCGCTTTTCAAGGCACCCAAAGCGCTTTACAATACCACTATTCATGCAAAGTTGTTCTAGCACAGTAACGTGTGCGCCCAGTATTGTGTATATAGAGACAAGAGGAAAGAAAGCAGTTTATTAAGTTCACAGATGGGAACCAGCACTTTCAAGTCTGAGTCAGAAAACGGTGGAGTGCCCACTCCAGGTTAAAGTTAAGGACTTCAAGTATCTCACAGTGTTTTTCTCGAACCAGGGGAGCACTGAACGGGGGACTGACAGAAGGATTGGTGTGACATGGGGGCATGATTTCAGTGGTGAAGAGTGTAAAAGGGAATCTGTTTCATTACATTCCCGCTGCCAACATGAACATGAGCTTTGTGTCATTACCAGAAGAATGACATCACAATAAAAGCTACCAAAATGAGGCCTGGGAGGTCGGTTATTCAGGAGGGGTTTAGAGTAGAGCCCCTACAGCTCCACATTGAAACCAGGACCAGGTGAAGTGTTTCAGGGACTTCCAGCTGAGAGAATTCTCCAGGGCAGACCCAGAAGACAATAAGGAGATTACATCTCTCAGCTGGCCTGGAAACACCTTAGTGTCCTCCTAGAAGACATGGAGAGAGCGGATGGATGAATGGATGGTATTTATTATAAAAATTCATGTTAGTATTAAATCATTTATTGATTCAGCTTTGATTGTGTGACAGTGACTGGTGGAAAAGTGAATTATTTTGATACAAAGATATGCTGTATATCAAAGATGTCAGTTTCTTTAAACATGCATTCTTTTCTGGAAAATAAAGACTCATACATCAGGGTACTTTTTGTTGGTTACACCTCCGTTCTCAATATTGTCATCCCACACAAACTCACTCACAAGCCGGCAACACTCGGCCCGCACCCCACCCTATGTGACTGGCTACAGGACTTTTTGACTGGCAGGCCCCAGTCCGTCAGGATCAGCAACAGGACTTCAGCCATCATTATTACAAACACTAGCGTCCCACAAGGTTGCGTCCTCAGCCCCATCCTCTACACCAGGGGTGTCAAACTCAAATACACAGTGGGCCAAAATTCAAAACTGGAACAAAGTCGCGGGCTAACGTTAATATTTATTGAAATATATTTATTCCTCCAGATATAAGAATGAATCTTTTCTTATGGACTCAAACATGTTTTGCTGAAAAATTGAATATGGAACAAGCAAAGCTTAATACTACACAATATATATATTAGCTGTATAATACCAGTAGGCCAGCTCTGATAGTGATTTGGTATGGCTTCGTGGGCCAAATGTAATTAGGCTGCGGGCCAAATTTGGCCCGCGGGCCAGAGTTTGACACCTATGCTTTACACCCTGTACACCAACAACTGTGTCGCCTCCAACAAAGACAACATCATTTTGAAGTTCGCGGACGACACTGTAGTGATCGGTCGCATCACTGGAGGGGACGAAGTGGCTTATAGGAGAGAGGTGGCCGGTCTGGTGTCATGGTGTGAGGACAACAACCTCACCCTCAACACTGACAAGACAAAGGAGATGATAGTGGACACGAGGAAGAAGAGGAGGCCTCACCCACTGCTGTCTATCCAGGGCCTTGAAGTGGAGAGGCTGAGCAGCTTTAGGTACCTGGGCATCTACATCACGGAGGACCTCACCTGGTCACTGAACACCATACAGCTGGTCAAGAAGGCCCAGCAGCGGCTGTAGTTCCTGAGGAGGCTGAGGAAATTTGGTATGTCGGCCAAGATCCTCGGCAGGTTCTACAGCTCCATTGTAGAGAGCACACTGACCAGCTGCATCACTGCATGGTACGGCAGCACTACTGCTATGGACCACAAACACCTGCTGAGAGTGATAACAACTGCGGAGAAGATCATCAGAACTCCACTGCCCTCTCTGCAGAGCATCTACCATCGCAGAGTCCAGAGGAGAGCTGCCTCCATCCTCAAAGACCCCACGCACCCCCAACACGGACTGTTCACACTTCTGCCCTCGAGACGAAGGTTCAGAAGTGTGAAATCCAGAACGTCCAGACTCACTAACTCCTTCTTCCCCATC